CGCCTGCGTCCCTCCCTCGCTCAGAGATCCACCGACCCGCCAAAGCAAAGCGGGCTTGGGAGAGCGAAAAGAGGGCTGCCTTCCGGCCGCCGCCGCCGCCGCCTCCCGGCCGCCACCACCCCCCGCCTCGTAGCCGACGCTGCTTGCCGAGTTCAACCACCGCCCCCTTTTCTCTTGCACGCAGGCGCCCAGCTGCAGGGAAAGGCGGAGGCCGCCCACACACGCGCAGCGACGGCGGCGCGCTCGTTTAGGACTTTGTCGCTCTGCTGACGGTTTGCCAGTCTTTGGTCCGGCGGATCTGTGTCTGCCGAGACGGGGGACTAGAAAAGCCACGTTGAAGGCAGGAACCGGGGCACTAACTTCGCTGTTTTGCGCGCCGGACTCTCTATGTACGTATCTATGCGCTGTTGCGAGGACCTATTTCGCGTTCGTGCTCTATCCCCTGGCGACAAGCAACCCTAAAGAAAGCGTCCTTAGCTACTGTCGCCGACCATTAATCGAAAATGAAGAAGGCAGTTTGAAGAGCCACTCCAGTACAAATACGTATCTTGCGGCTCTCTTGCCAATTCCTGTTCTTTTCCAACCCAGCACCCGCCCGAAACGCCTTACACGGCTTGTAGAAACAAGTGAGACAGTTTTTCACACTCATCCTTGTGCCACTGCATCAGGTTCAAATGGTAGCGCGACCCCCCCCCCGTCCCCCAAATTCCACTAGAGTGGTCAAATGATCGTGCTCGCTGTCTCCATTTCTCTCAATAAACCCGTTGCACTTTTGAATCTTGAGCAGCACAGATCAAGTAAAGGGTATTGAACATTACCATTACATGTGCAACTAATGTTAAAGAATGCTACCCATCCTTGCACATGCCGTACGGGCACGCCGCTATTGTTAGTAAAAGTTTTTAAAGAAATTCTCACGCTTCCGTTCAGGCTTTCAGTTTGCTAATTCCATTACACAATAAACTACGTACTACAACCATTCGTACGATCGTAACGATACGAAAAGATCCCACTACAATATACTATAATACTACTCTCCAGAGGCTTTGTTGTTGGCTGAGAATAGCAGGAAGGAGCACTAATATGCATCTCTGCTAAAATTGATTAAATATAATCTTCTGAACATAATATGTAAACAAATTCTAATATTTTTTGCCACTTGCAGTGTCTCAGCAATGCTCTTTATTTGAAAATGGTGGACTTTGGGAAACAATACAGTACAGTATTATTTTTAGAACAATTTGAAAACAGTTTGTAAATTCTGCATGATATAAAGCATTTTCTTCAAAAAATAATGGTGTTCTGTTCTCTTTAGATTTTGCGACTGATCTTCAATTTGCAAACAGTTGTATTAGAATAAATGCTTTCCTCCTCACTAATCAATTTATCACCTTTTTATTATTTGTACTTTCCTGACAAAAATGAACTCATTTTAGAATCAAGTCTGCTGATAAATTGTTTTGTAGCATATTCAAACAGCTTATTCTAATATAAGCAGAGTAAAGTTTTTAGCTTTATTTCTGGTAACAACAATTTAAAGTTCTAACTAACAGCTGAATATGCACAAGATTTCCTCAGTATCGGGAAATTTTAATTTCAGTCTGCTCTGTCTGCTTCCTGAAAGAAAGCATAAGCCATTTTTGCATTTGTATAGTGTGTAACAGCATTTAAGCATACTTATTGTTTGCTTATTGTTTGTCTAATATTTGGATAATTATATAATATTATACAGCTGAAATATTCTTGTACCATTGTAATAAATAACTTACATTATTTAACTCAAAGTAGCTTTTAATCTTCAAAAAACAAACAAAAGCAGAGAATGTGTAGCCAATGTTGGACTATAATTTGCATATCGCCTCATCTTGTTGGTTAGAATGATAGGATTTAAGGTTCAGTAACCATTGAAATTCCACATGTTGGCCATCCTTGAGCCATAGTTGGCATGTATGTGTGTGAACAGGTAGTCTTTGACATACGAAGAAGTGGATCTTCAATTTCCATCACTAAGTGATGTGCTTGTAAAGTAAGATGTCACATCAACATGGATTTACAATCTCAGCACTCCCTGTTGCAGTCATTAATAGAAATCACAGGTTTTTAAACTACCCGTTTCTCCGAAAATAAGACCCAACTAGAAAATAATCCCTAGCATTTAGAATGCTTCTAATATAAACCCTACTCCAAAAATAAGCCCCAATTAAGATCATGAGCCCTGGGGTTGGGGGGGACCAGCACAGCAGCAGGGGCCAATGGTGTCCAACAGCAGCTGCTGCCTGCTGGCCCCTTGGCCAATGCACTCGGGCTGAGCAGGCCATGCAACACAGGTGACTCCAAGTGCTGTGGTCATTGGGCTGGCCCTCCAAGCAACAAGCAGAGGCAGAGGCGCTGGAGGGGGAAGTTTAGCTCCACAAGGGGGTACCCGGCTGTGCTTATCTGTTCTACTGCTGGAGTGGTTGGGAGTGGTTGAGGCGGGCGTTCGGGAGGAGGCCAAGACAAGTGGGAGGCCGCTACATTGTAGACTGTGGCAAAGGCAGGCAAGCAGGTTGAGCCGCATGGCCACATGGTCAAGTCAAGGGAGCCAAAGAGCAGCTGCAGCTATGCAGTGGGGTGACTCTAAGGCACCAGTCAAGGCATGTGAGGTCAATAAGTGAGGCGGAGCGGGGCAAGCCAGAAATTTAACAACCGGTTTGGCTGAAGTGCAAACTGGTTGAATCCCACCACTGGATGTAAGCCATATTCTGAAGTTTTCCTTCTGCAAACATTCATAGGTATTACTTAAGTGCTGCAGTGTCAATTGAGAGATGTAGAGGTCATTGTGAACTCACTGGGCTCAGAATGCCTGAATAGATCTATATGCTTCCTTAATGTTGCACTGCTATGCCCACCTGATTTTCATATGTATCAGTCAATCTCTGAGGGCTTCAGTCATCATTCATGTACCTTCCTAATAAATTAGAATTTCTGCAAACGTATCTATTGAAGATTCAACTTACTGCATGTCTAAGTGTATTCTGACTAAAACATAAAAAATAATAAAATATTTGTGGAATATTTCATAAATGAAATATTTGTGTGGAAGGGACTGAAGTGAGCTTGAACAAAGTGTTCCACACTTTGTGGAGATTCAGGATTCCAGTTTCCCAGATTCTCATTTTCCTTCTGTACTTACTCTTTCTGCTCTTTCTCACTGTTTATCCTAGTCGTTTTTCTTCACTTTCCCCATGTTTGTTCCTTCCATTTTTGCTTTTCCCATCCCTATATATAAAAATCTTCAATTTTTACTTTTCTGTTATCATAAAAGTAAGGACTCTCCTCAGATAAAGTTAGAATTGCATCTAAAACTTTGCATTGTGTCAGACTCCTTCCTTTTGCCTTATGCCTTGTTCCTTGTATTACTAGATTGTTTCTGGTATGGTTTTATTACTTTTTTTTTTAATTTGATTTATATGCCGCCCTTCTCCGGAGACTCAGGGCGGCTTACAATGCGTTAAGCAATAGCCTTCATACTTTTGTATATTTTATACAAAGTCAGCTTATTGCCCCCACAAACTGGGTCCTCATTTTACCTACCTTAGAAAGGATGGAAGGCTGAGTCAAGAGTCAACCTTGAGCCTGGTGAGATTCGAACTTACAGTAATTGCAGACAGCTGGTGTTAATCACAATGCTTTTAGTCTGCTGAGCCCCAGGCCCTTCCTTTGTTCCTTCAACTTTGTTGATCTGTTTACTGATACAGGTATAGAATTCTTCTGTAGCCAAATCGGTCTTTCTCATAATAATCCACAGTTGACATAAAATACATTGCTGTCATTTGCTGTCCTCCTCCTCCTGCTCCTCTTCTTATTCCATATATTTAGAAGTCATAGCAGAGAGGTAATTTTACATAATTGAAAAGAAACTTGCATCCTGATTTTAAGGAATGGATCTACTCCTTGCAATTAATTTTTGAAAAGTCTTTGTTCCAAAAATGAGAAGATCACACAATTATAGGATCTTACTAAAGATCTGCTTAATTAATTACAATTAAGACCAGGAAGTTAAAAGCACTGGATTGGTCAAATAAAATCCAAACAATATATCAGTCATATATGATATAAACAATTAAGACTTTTTTTAAAAGGAGAAAAAAGGACTAGATAAGATAAAACATAATATAAAATAATAATAACAAAACATAACAGAAGGGCAGGGCAGGGCAGAACAGAACAGCTGAGCTGCTCTGGTGCAAGAACTTTGAGGTCAGGAAAGCAACTGAAAAACAAGCATTCTAGTTTTTTTATGGAATCACTGTACAAAGGGCTGTTTTAATTAAGGCTATATATATTTTACATCATCCAATCACTTTCTTCTTAAATTAGAACTTGTTAATGAAGAAGTGAGACAGAGGCACAATTTTTAAACTCGCTATTCTACTTGTAATATAAATAGGTAATGTTCTGCAGCAGGAAACTGAAAGATGTGTGTTTTGTTTTTTATGTCATAAATAATACCATCTTAGAATAATTCTGAATAAACCTAGCTTCAAACATAAAATAGGTATAATAACTGTAAAAGTAATAGTATTAGTCCAATAGTATTAGACTTTACATATGTGTAAAAATAATTATTTCTGAGATTAGTGCTCTCTCTGGATAAGTACCTTTTGATATGCAAGCCATTAGGAGTAAATATTCTGTGTGATTCTAAAGGTTACAAATAAAAGGATTTTTAGTTAAAAAAATTCTACAGGACAATCTCCTATGATTATGCAGACAAATTTGAAAATAAACTGCATGGCTTTTTTGCACATTTTATAGATAAGTAGTATATTTAGAGCTTTTTTTTTTAGCACCAGCAGTCTAATATCATTGTTACAAGAATGTTCCTTCTCTCATATAAGAAAAAGAAATATTTAATAAATTGTCAAAATGGTGTAGGGATACCTAAAACATTTTATATGTTTGAAGCAGAATGGGGTCACAAATGCATAGATACATATACATACACTACGGAAAGTCCCTGATTTACAACCACTCATTTAATGACTGTTCAAAGTTACAAGGGCACTGAAAAAACTGACTTATGACCATTTTTCATACTTATTACTGTTCTCATGGTGATGTGAACAAAATTCAGGTGCCTGGCGTCTGGGGGTGGGGGGAATTGGACTCCTGGCAATTGGTTCATATTAGTGATAGTTACATGTCCTGGAATCATGTGATAACCTTTTGTGTCCTGACAAATAAAGTTAATGGGAAATACAGATTCACTTCATCATGTTACCTTCTTAACAACAGCAGTGATTCACTTAACAACTGTGGCAAGAAAGGTTATAAAATGGGGAAAAAGTCACGAAACAAGTATCTTGTTTAGCACAGGAATTTTGGGTTCAGTTGTGATCACAAGTCGAGGACTACCTATAGAAAAAAAACAAAATCTTATTTCAATATTCAGCTTCAGACACTAAGATAATCTTTTTTCAAAATTGTTAGTAATTTTATTAAATAATATAATAACGGTAAAAACTAATACAAATTGAAAAAAGAATAAAAATAAAGAGCAGAAGATGAAGAAAATAAAAAAAAATAAGGATATAGTAAAGAAAAAAGGAAATATATAAAGTAGTTTTTATATTTTTATATTTGCAATGAGGATGGAAGCCACTTCTTATGAACCTTAAAATACAATAAGTGACCTTTCTTTCCATATCCCATCTCTTATCTATGAACAAATCCATAAAGTATTATCATTCAGAGTTAGATTTGAGGTTGAGGTTCATCAGAGATAAATAACTCTGTGTGTGTGTGTGCGCGCGCGCGCCTGTGTATAAATATTGATCAAACAAACCAGTTCTATATTCATTCCATTTACTTCTAACACTCTTTAGTACATTCAGATAATGTTGTGGAACTTGATTTCTTTTCATTTTTTATTTGTGCCTTTACATGACATTCTTCAAAGTTTACCAAGCCTCTTTTGTAAATCCAGTATAGGAAATTTATCCATGTCACTCTCTTGGCTTGTTATTTGTATTGTACATCCCTTATAAGACTGTTGGACTGTTAGTAGGTGTTTGGTTTTTTGTTTATAATGAAATAATGATCTCCCAGAGAATTCATGGATATTCTCTCCTAGAACTCCAGTTGTGACTGTAAACTACACCTGATGTAGAGAAAAACTATTTTGATTGCCCTAGTAAAGAAAGCTGAAGCAAGAAAGTTCTACTTCTTTGTGGCAGTACTAGTCCTTTGGAACAGTCTCCCCATGGAAATCAAGCTGGCATGATGCTTCAATGCAATCAGAAAGATATTGAAGCTGGAATTGTTCCAGAAGGCATTTTAACTTGTTGGCACAATTTTTTGTTCTACTTTATTTTGTTTCTTTATTTCTTTTTTCTTCTTATTGTATTGTCACAAAGCTTTTTTTTTAATCCTTACTGTGAATGTTTTTACATTTTGATTTTTGTTGTATGTTACCAAAAGTCAAATTGATTGTGATGGGATGCAGATGTAAATTATAATAAGTAATATGATTTCATGTATATATGTTTATTGAATGTTCTAACAAATTGCTTTTATAGTAAAGCACTGCAAGGCTTTTTTTTTTCAACAGGAAGTGATATAGAAACGTTTTGCATAAATAAGTAAATTAAAAATCCAGAAAGATCCAAAGAGCCCTTGGGCTTTGGGAACTAAAATAATTTGTCTTGGTTAGCTATGTTATCTAAACAGTTTAATGAGAAAAAGAGTAATTGTTCTATCTCCTTTTCTATGACTGAGACCAACACCTAAAGAAGTCCAATTAAAGTGTGGTTTCTTCAAAATTCAGTATGTCATCATTTTATCTTAATTCCCATTGACATTCTGTAGAAAAAAGTTTGGGGGAAAAGCTAGAAGAAAAGATGAAAAAAGTTATCTCCTATATTCCTTAAGGATAGCACCAGGAAATGGCAATCTTCATTACAGGAATTGCCATGACTCAGGAAATGTTCATTCCTTTGCTGAACACCAGGGATGGGATTCAGCCGGTTAGGACCAGATCAGGCGAACCGGATGCTAATTTTACATCTGGTTTGCCGAACCGGTAGTTACAAGGACTGGATGGCCCCTCCCCTCCCAGAAGTCTCCACGCAGCCCATTTTGGATGCCAGGTAAGTGCAGGGCCCACGCAGAGGCTCTAGGAGGGTGAAAAATGGGCCTCCCGGAAATCTGGAAATCACCGTTTTCCCCTCCCGGAGGCTTGAGGAAAGCCTCTGGAGCCTGGGGCGGGCGAAAAACAGGCCACCTGGGAGTTCCAGAAGTCTGGAAACGGGTCCATTTCCAGCCTCCAGAGTGCCTCTGGAGCCTGGGGAAAGTTATTTTCACCCTCCCAGAGGCTCAAGGAAAGCCTCCAGAGCCTGGGGGACAAAAACACCCCACCCACCCCCCGAGTGCAGGAGGCTGAGTAGGCCACGCCCACCATGGCCACGCCCACCCAGCAACCGGGTAGAGAACCGGTTGCTAACATTTTTTAATCCTACCCCTGCTGAACACCTCTCAAGGTGAGCCTGTTAATTGGGAAACGGTACAATACCTGGATCTGCTCTGTGGAACAGTCAAAGCTTCTGTATAATAGCAGACAAAGCTGTGAAATAAGCATCATATTAGATTTGATTCTGTTATTACTCAAAAGGTTTGTCAAAGCTTAGAACTGTAAGAGCAGAATTATAAGTGTGAAGTTATGCTCAAATCGTGCTATCTTCTGAAACTAACATACCAAAGAACCTATCATTGTTATTGCAGTACAGATAATGCTTATCAGATATTAGAAGGCTGGGAAACTTCTTGTCTTCATTCTCAGCTGCTTTCAACAGTAGGACTTACAGTGGATCAGGGTGGATTTGATTTAAATCGAGCTGATTTAAATCACGATTTAAATCATGATTTAAATCACTAATAAAAAGGCTTGATTTAAATCAACTCGATTTAAATCATAATTTGTAAAGAGCAACTGTCATCTCTGCTACTCCTTTGACCCACTGTTGACTCACCGATAGTCCCAGTGTTGCAGAATATACAGCCTCATGCTACATAACTAAGCTCCATTTCATGCTGAATAAACTAAATTATTTATGTATCTTAAATAGAAAACTATCTTACGATAGATTTTTACCCCAAAAGTTTTTTATTAAAATAAATCCGATTTAAATCAAAAAAAATCCGATTTAAATTAAAAAAATCTGATTTTTTTTTATTTTTTTTAAAAAATCATTGATTTTTATCCACCCTGCAATGGATCATCAGGATGCTGGCTGTTTTAATTCAGCAAATGTTTAAAAGGCTACAGATTTATGGTATCTTTCCCTGAATGGTTACATATACAGATCTAATAATTATTTTTGTGCATTAAAACATAGTTTCAGTGATTAAAATGTTTCCATTAGCTTATGTTTCAAAGATATTTCCTTACCTAAAAAGAAACAAAATTATCATAGGTGAGAGCAAACAATGAGAGCAGGAGTAATTTCTGACTTCCTGCCAGTTTCCCATTGAGTTTCCTTGTGGGTCACTGTCAAGGAGCATTAGAAATCCTTCCTTCCTTCCTTCCTTCCTTCGTCCTTCCTTCCTTCTCTAAAATGTAGGAGATGATACTCCCTTCTCTTTTACATTTACGGAAAATTGCATATATCCACAAACCAGATATGGCACATTCTCCAAATATCAGATACCCTACCCACACGTTCAAATTCTCATTGCTCAGAATAGGTTGGAACTGGTATACTGAATAGGTTGGAACTAGTATATCAACTCTAGAAAAACAACAGAATGAGATATGGAAACAGATAATTCTCTAATTTTCTGAAGTAGCCACAACTTGCCCAAATTTCATTCCCTTGGGAGTAATGGATCCTGGCATTCTGTGGGTTATCTTACTTACAAATGTGTTGATGAAGTTTGGCCCAGAAATGCATTGTTTTGCCCAGTTAAAAGTGTGTGTGTGTGAGAGAGAGAGAGAGAGGAGATTTTTACTCCTTCTTGCTTTCATTACTAAGGAATGAATGTTTCAATTTGCAACTGGTTGCTACATTTCCCCAAGGATGCAATCAGTGAGTAATACTAATTAGAAATTATCCATAAAAATAGAACAAGACTGACCTTACGTAGCCCGAATTCTGACTTTTCAGACAGGCTAATGATTCTCAGATCGTACTGCACTGTACTGACTTTATCAGCATTTTAACTAGCAAATATATCTCTGAACAGACTTTACATGATTCCAAAGACAGCCTGGGTTTATCACACTGTTCATCACCCATTGTCTTTTAAAGAAATATGCGTCTTAAATGGTTGATTTCAGCACAAGTTGAAACCTATGTGTTCTTAGTGATGACTCTCCTGTTACAAAGATTTACAGGGTCATTGCAATGTTAAGTACAAATTGTGCTACTGCTCAACTTTAGAATGTGACATGTTTAAAACTTATTTATAGGTTAAATTAACTTCATGCAACTAGGTTGGACTGTTTTCACAGTTCTTCAATCCCCACAGAAGTTTATAATATTTAATCTTAAACTGACCAGAGAGAGATCTAACTATGAAAACATAATCACAGGGGATTTTTCTACATTTAATTCTTTTCAGTTCTAAATTTAATGTGTGTCTTACTGCGTACATGAGACAAGATATCAATTTGAAGAGTCCCCAGCTGATATAATTCCAGAGCCCCTCTTGATAGGCACCCTCAGCATGGATATTACAGTGTCCAATGTCAAGAACTGAGGTATTGTATTACAGAATTTAGTCCTGCTAGCTCAGGAAGAAATACTGCATAGGTGTAGTGATACTATTATAATAATATCTTCTGGAATCCAACAAATCACACCACAGCAACATAAACTTAATATTATCAACTTCAGATGGAGATTTTGATCAATTACTACAGACCATACCACACTAGTATCTTGCTTTCCAGTCATAGGCTTCTGCATCACAGAAGAACCAAGAAACTTTGTGGGTGGAACCCATGGGAGATTTATTTCCATTCCTTGCCCCTGCTGCCACGTAACATAATACAGATTAAATGTTTTATCAATAACAGACTCACGATTGCAAAACAGACACTAAACTGTAGAGTCTGCCTTCATTTTCTGAAAAAGAAGGGAGGGAGAAAGTTAGTTATAAATTCCCCATTGTTTAACATTTTGTGATGTATATATTCCAGAAGAAAAAAGTATTACAAGCTGTCACTAGTGACAGAAGATTAGTTGAGGCAGTATTCAGTGAATACACAACCTGTCCTCAAAGTTATGACTGCTTTCCCCCACATGTACTGTGGTGATATGATTACATTTCAGTGCATGACAATCAACTCCCATTTGCAATCAACTGCAGTGTGCCCGATCACATGTTTGGAGAGGGTTTTTTGTCAGTTTCCAGCAAAAAATACTTATTTGGAATAATGGATTGTAAACATGGTCATAAAATTGAGTCCTGTCATGTTGTGCTATGATTTATGATTGCAACCACTTTTGACTGCAATTCCAAACTCTGTTGTGATTGTAAGTCACGGACTACCCATACAAGAAAATTATTGCTGGTGATGCCTGTCTGTAATTGTAAAAGTTCAAAAATGTGAATGCCAAGTATATTTTTCAAGTCAATCATAATGTAACATCAGCAGATTTGCTTAGTAATAATACAATTAGTGATACGTCATTATATTGTGACAGAAGTTCACAGTAGGTTTGGAAACTACACTCCAAGAATGCTCATTGATGGCTCTTCATTAAGTTGGAAGGAACTTTTCAATGGGTTGCTGCATGACTTTTTAAAGTAAACTAAAAAGTTTACTTTTTAAAGTAAACTTTAAGAGATGTACTTTTTAACACTTTTATTAGTAATAAGCAAGGAACTACCATACATTTGAATGTAGCACGAATCTAACATGGATCTCTCTTAAAACAGAAGGAAAATTAAAAGAAACTATATAGGAAACAACAAAATTAATTGTTTCTAGAATAGAAAACTGGGCTGAATCAAGTAAAATGAAATACATCAGAAGTCAATGCATTTAGACATAAAGGAAATTGCTCCACGAACAGATATAGCACAGGAGCAGCTGTATATATGAATAGGATCTTAGAAAGGTGTTCAGTCAGAAGTTGAATGTGAATCAGCAGTGTGATGAAGCTGCAAAGAAGATTAATGTTTATTAAGAGAGCTGTAGTTTCCAAGCCAGTAGAAATAATAGTTTCATTTTATTTTATACTAGTTTAATATCTTATCTGAAATACCCAGCTTTGGATGTCATTCTTTAAGAAAAAAATAAACAATTTCAATTGGTCCATGGAAGAGTAAAATGGTCAAGGAAAGGGAAATCCTATGAAGAAAAGAGAGTGTTGAGCTTGGACAAGAGGAAATGAACAATGCACTGCTTAATGCCTGAAGGGATAACACATAAAAGAAGACAGAAACTTGGTTTTATGTTTATTATTTATTTATTTAATTAATTATGACATTTATTTGCCGGCTATCTCATATCCAACAACTCTGGGTGGCTTATGTTTGGTCTGAGCCAAGGCTTCTTTTATTGGGCAGGAATAAGATATCTTTACAAAGTGGGCAGAAAACATATTTTGCTTTATGATGTTTCCTTCTAGATGAACTAGTTTTAAAATTTAAATAAAATATTTGGAATCTGCAATTGCTGCAAAATTAATCAGCCCCTTTGTTGGCAGCCAATAGATATTATATTTATATAATCGTAATAGCGCTTAGATTTATCTACTACTTTACAGTGCTTTACAGCCCTCTCTAAGCGGTTTACAGAGTCAAAATATTTCTCCCAACAATTTGGGTCTTCATTTTACCCACCTCGGAAGGATGGGAGGCTGAGTCAACCTTGAGCCTGGTGAGATTTGAACTGCTAAATTGCAAGCAGCCGGCAGCCGGCAGCCAGCAGAAGTAGCGTGCAGTACTGCACTCTAACCACCATGGCTCATATATAATACTGGTGCCATGATGTTCTGAAAATTTAAATCTCAATTTTGACCTATAAAGTGCTATATGGCTTGGCAGCTATGTAGTTAAAACTGTATGTTTCAAATAGACTCTTTCTGTCCAGTGCACATATTTCAACACTGACCTCCTCTTCAAGAGATCTGGGAAGAAGAAGTGCTTCTATGTAGCTACAGTAGTCCTCTTAACAGTCTACCACTAGAGCTCCAAATGGCAATGTTAGGAAGAAAGAGTTCATTAAAAGGATTGAGAGGGGTAGGAAAGAATAATTTCTTAACAAAAATAATTGCAACAATGTGCTGGAGCATGAGTTTCCATTCAACATGAAATGATATGGTTACCTACTTTTGACTATTTCGGTAAAATTTAGTAAGTAAATGCATCAAGAAAGTATAGCCAACTTCTCATGTAAAACTATTTTATCCATCTAAGCTTCAAATAAAAGAAGCCATTCACTGCATTTTAAGAATGCATGTTTATAGCTGTTGCTCCACTACACTGGGCACAACTAAATTAACAGGTTTTTAATCTCTAGTTATAATAAGATCTGTTTTGATGGGCTTTTAAACCCACACAAAATTTCAATGATGCCAACAGGTTTAACAAGTTGCTGAAGGTCCTCTTTCAAGAAAAGCCATAATAGGTAAATTTAGGGTTTGGGGATGAGGGAAGATAAGAGTGACAGTATTAGGAACACAAGTTTGCATATATTAAACAAGCATACCATCTGGAGGCTTTATATAGTATTTTAGGGTTTAATATGATTGAGTTGGCCTTTACATTTTTTAATATGTGAATAAATTTAGGCTTGTTGCACTAAATGTCTAACAACACTTTCCTGCCCTTCTTCTCATCAGTATTGATATATGTACAAATGTATGCCAATGTGATAAAGGAAATGACAGAAATTGGAAGTCAGGATCTGTGACTGGTAGATCAGCTAGGAAATTCTATTCAATTCCTGAATATATTTATCTGAATTTAGCAATAGCAAAAAGAATATACCGGTAGTAATATGGGGAAGCTAAGGCCGTCCTGATTTTGCTGAATCTCTGATCTCAATTTTTCTCACCATGCTGGTCAAATTTCTGAAATCTGAAAACTGAATTTTAATGGCATCTATGGACTCTCTGCTTCAAACTATAAATTCAGGTTTGAAATAATTATCTAAATCAAGGTTACATAATTGCCTCCTTTCGAAAGTGCTGGACATCAATTCTGTCAACCCTCGCTGGCATGGCCAGAGATTGTGGGAGGAGCCCAAGAAGAAGCCCAAGAAGAAGCAATATTCATTCAATATGGGGCAATATAAATAAATGTATTATTTATTTATTTTATGAAGGCCCAGTTGAGGTAATCACAAGTTCTGAGGGCTGCTTTGATGTGTAGATCATGAAATCCAAAAAGACCCAAGAGCAGTGGTGAAATCCAAACCAGTTTGCTAATAGTTTGCTGGCCACACCTGCGCATTGCACGCCAAACCCACACTGCATGCGCATACACAGTGCGCACCAAAAGGAGGCTTGGGAAGGTAAGTAGAAGCGAGAAGGGGGATCAGCTGTGGCGTGCGATTTCCTGCTTTCCAGCAAAGCTAAACTGAGTTGCACAGCTGATCCCCTCCACTGTTCTACTTACCTTCCCAAGCCTCCTTTTGGCACATGCTGTGCATGTGCGCATACGCACCAAAAGGAGGCTTGGGAAGGTAAGTAGAACAGTGAGGGGGGATCAGCTGTGACGCGCAATTTAGCTTTGCTAGAAAGCAGGATTTCCTGCTTTCTAGCAAAGCTAAACCCCACTGCACAGCTGATCATCGGAAATACCGGTTTGGAGGAACTGGTAGCTTTTTTAAACTACCAGTTCACCCAAACCGGAGCGAACCGGTAGCATTTCACCCCTGCCCAGAAGCTCCTCCATAACAGACAAAGAAAAGAACAATAAACAAAGCAATGTTGTCATTCCATGCATTGCAGGAATATCTGAAAAGTTCAAGAGGTTTTTCATCCAACACAACATATATGCACTTTTTAAACCAAGAATAAACTGAGGCAGGAGTTTGTCCACTCCCAGGATAAAACACCCAGACACAAACTGAGCAATGTGATATATGCAGTACAATGCAGTGAGACATGCAGATCTGTACATGGGAGAAACAAAATAACCACTTCACAAATGTGTGGCACAGCATAAGAGAACAGACCCATCAGGACAAGATTCAGCAGTTCAACTGCATTTGAAAGACAAATGCCACTCCTTGGAAGACAGCAAAGTCTTCAAAAGTCCACATTCTAGAGAGAGAGGACCGCTTGTTTAAAAGAGGGGTCAAAGAGGTCAACTGCATTAAAATTCAACAGCCCTCATTCAGTGGTGAAGGCTCTGACGATCAGGCAACTCAGCTGGATCATCAGAGCCTTTTAAAAGCATTTTTTCCTACAACCTCTTCAGCTCAAGAGGTTGTAGAAAAAATGCTCTTAAAAGCCTCTGATGATCTCAGATGACCCGGCGATCATCAGAGGCTTTTTTTTTTTAACTTTTAAAAGCATTTTTTTGCCCGAAGAGGTTGATCCAGTCTGAACCAGGAGCATTTCACCCCTGCCTGTGGAGCTTCCAGGGTAAATGTTAAGAAAACATTGGGGGGGGGGGGGAAACGACATGGAACTCTTTGTATATATTTATTGTTTATATATTTATTGTAATTTTTGTGTGATATGGGTGACTTTGCATTACGTATGTATATAATATCTATATGTATATGTATAACCATTCATCTTCTATACTTCCTATAATAAAGTTCAAGTTTTTATGGTCACTTTTTGAAGCTATATTTTACAGAAATGTCGATAGCAAGAATAATTAGCATTATTAACAAAGCATTTAGAGCATAGAAAAATCTGCTTATATGAAATCATTATAGATTAAAATAGTTTTGAGTAATACTTCTATTAAATCTGCTTTTAAGTTGGCTGAAATTAATTATAAAAAGTAATCTACTTTCAAATAATCAACTAAACAACATAAGGATCTGTAGATGTGTAGATAGATGTAGATTGACATAGAGATGTATCCTATTTGCTACCTTTTTATAAATACTTTTGAATGAAATATCAAGAAAGGAAAAAAGTTTTAGTGAGTAGCCAGTTTGATATAGTAACTATGGTACTGATTAGAAACCAGGAGACTATGAGTTCTAGGCCTACTTTAGGCATGAAAGTCAGTTGGGATGACTTTGGGTCACTCACTTCCTGCAGCCCAACATCCCTCATGGGGTTGTGGCATAAATAGGAGACAGCAGTATTAGGCATGTTCATTGCTAAAAAATATCACTAAGTTAAATATAAAGGATAAAATATAATAATATTATATTAGTATAATATAAATAGAATAATAATAATAATAATAATAATAATAATAATAATAATAATAATAATATCCCTGTACCAGGAGATGCCAGAGTCGAAGAAAAAGTACTGGAAAAATTATGAAATATTGCAACCTGGCCATCGAAACTACATGGCTATGGATGAAACATGTAACAGTGATACCCATTGTCATCGGGGCACTTGGTACCATGTCCAAGAATTTTACAAAACACATCAAGAAATTGCAGCTTCCTGCAATAACAACAGCAGAATTACAAAAAACTGCTACTCGGAACATCATATATTTTAAGAAAATACTTGGTTGATATCTAGGACGCTGGTAGCAACCTATAGCAACCATTAGCACCAGTCAGTGGTATTTGTGACACATTTTTAAATGTTCAGTTGACTGCGTTTCATGTTTAATGAATAAAAGAGATAATAATAATAGCAGCATCAGTCATGATGGTCATGTGCAGATGTACAGTAGTTTGCTGCTATTTGCAGATGCTGGTCCTATTATTTGTTGCTCTGGGTATTAATTTGTCTCCCAACTTTGAGGTCTATGTTTCAGCCTAAATTGCCTTCCTTGTTGCATAATTGCCTGGGATAGCCATGCCTCTAAATGATTTTATCTGTTTTTTTCCCTGTTAATCATTATGCACTAGCATTACATATCATTCTTTTGCTGTGAATATCATACACTTTAATATAGAGGGTCTTCTCTGGTGGGAGACAAGTCCTAAAAATGGGAGACATTCTTACATAGTCTTTGAAAGGATAATGGCTATCTCTTTCTATCCAACCCTTAAAATGCTAGTTTTCCTAGTCAGTAGCATCAATCGTTTTGACTCTAGTTTTATTTTAAGAACTTGTCTCAGTCAGTGAGTGAAATGTACGAACTTCGTTATGCTTTCAAATTCTATTTGCCAAATGAGGAATGCTTTGGTGATATTGTCATAATATATATCTGTAATAATAATTTAATGCAGAAACTTGAACCCACAGTCCTGCCAAACATCCACCCAAAATTTTGGGTACATTACGTGGATGAAACCTTTGCCATCATCAAATGCACCAGACTAGAAGAGATACACCCACTGGTGGGTTTCTACCAGTTTGCCCTGTTTTGGGCGAACCAGTAGTGGCGGCCGTAGGAGGCTTCGCCCACCTGCCCGGACGTCATCACAGATGCTCTGTGCATGCACGCTCCCAGTTCCAAACTTGTAGTGAAGGTAAGTGGAATCCACTGCTGGATACACCATCTACTCAACAACATATTCACTGGGATCAATTTTACACCTGAGAAAGAAAAAGAACAACTCCCCTTCCTAAATATTGACATAAGGAGAGAAGATGATGGCAGATTAACAATCTGAGTATACCGAAAATTGACGCACACAGACCTAATTCTTAATTTCACAAGCAGTCACCCCACTACACAGAAGAGGAGCTGCATCCAGACCCAGTGTGCCAAAACATACTGCAGCACTGAGTCATTAAGAAAAGCAGAAGAGAAACATCTTTTCAAAGTTTTCCTCCGCAATGGCTATTCCCCCAAAAAACATAATATAATCCTTGTCATCCAAACCCCAACAAAATATAACCACAGCATAAAAACAAGTCCTGTCATACATCAAAGGAACATTCGAAATGTTGCCAGAATACTGCAACCCCTAGGAATAATGATAGCTCACAAACCCACATTTACACTCAAAAAAGAGCTATCTTAAATCAAAGACAAAATATGGAAGACAACAGCAACATAGTATACAAAAACATTTACAATGATTGTAACCAATTATATGTGGGACAAACAGGAAAGCAATTGAGAACAACGGTTCATGAACATCAACTAGTAGTAGGTGTAGTAAAATGGCATGACCAAAAATCCCTGATCTCAAACCAAACTGATAATGAACAACACCAGTTTGATTGGGATGGAACAAAAATCACTGGCCATGAACATCAATTTGTTGAGGCCTGGTATTCTACCAAAGGAGCAATTAGCAAACATATTGACCTAGATCCAGCGTATGAATATATAAGAAACCAGACCATTCGAACAACCCATCAACAAAAGAACCAATCAGCTGCTCAGAATTTAAATATAGCTCCAAACAACCAAACAACCAACTGACCACATTGGCACACAAGACGTTTATAAGTTAAGGAGAATAAAAAAAAAAAAAAAGGGAGAATAAGACAAGACAATCCTGATGATAATGTTACCTAGTCAGATAATGAAACGTTCAGAAACTAAATTGAAATAAGCTTGGAGAGCAAACCACTGCCAAAATCTAAAACCTGAGCTACAAGTATTTTCTATTATTTCAAAATATACAGTATATCTACGTCTAGATAGGAGGATTCTTGCATCAGCAGTTAAGTTTTCAATATATTCTCAATGGACATTAAGACGAAACCAAGTACGATGCATGGATTGGCAGACACAACAACTTCCAAACTGTTGTCATATTATTTCACAAGTTTTCTATCCCAAGTGCAAAATCCCGTGCACCTCGTCTAAAATAGTTAAGAGTATCTGTTTTCTAAAGTAAGTAGAAAAGGCAGCTAGGATATCTGCTGAATTATCACAGGAGGTGTTGTCCTCCAAGAACTTGTCAAAAAAAATCCCAAGTGATAAAAGAAGTTTTATTTCAGTGTGAAGATATTGCTGCATCTTTCAACTAAGTGATACCAGCTATAGTCAAGATAGACATATACACGTGTTATGTAAACTGGGATGCATCTTTTAATGGAACAGGAGAAAAAGGTATTAGATAAAAAGAAAGAAGGAGACAAATACCACCTTTGGTTACCTTCATTTATTGACTGTATTTTATTTCTATACCATTTCCCATGATACAAAATCCCTGTTTCTAAGGATATTAAATATTTATTTTTCAGTTAGGGTTGTTAAATATTTATCTTGTTTATTTAAAAGTTAAACATATATTTTCTTTAATCAACAAGTTCAGAATATACCAAGCTGATTTATACCAAACAGCTCTCAAAAATGAACTTAAATGTCACTTAAATGACATAAAATGGAATTTAGAGAAACAATATATAAGGAATTAGAAAAGCATTTAACATGTTTTAAAATGTTGAAGTAATTAAAAAAGTTTTACCTGCCAGGTGCCTAAAACCAAGCTGAGCTAAAATGTGCATTACAAAAAGACCTCTTCTTCTTACTAAAATTCTCTTTCGATGAATGACAGTTCAGCTTGGAGTAAGATGACCTTTGCCTTCAATAAGCAGGACCCGGTGCTTTTTATCAAAATGACAAAATCAGCTCCTTTTATATTTCCATACAATATTGCAATACATGGGATGGAGCTTCTATCATGCATGACACTGCTTTCATCATTTGTTCATTTCCCCAACATTCCCTGTGTATACTTACAGGCTACCACACTTATTTTATTTTATGCTGCCGTTGCTAAAGTAAATTGATGTTATTGAGCATTTTTTGAACACCGGTCTCCTATTCAAGTCAGACCCACTTTGCTACAGTGTCTGCCTTGGAATTCCAGCATGTATGACAAATGGCCCAAAGTGATTCTTGTAATCGGTTGTGTTTTGTGATATCTCATTCATGTATTGCAGGTCTTCTTGAAATGACTATAGATTATGTTGATAAACACTGTTTAGTTTCTTCATTCACAGAGATTACATCACTATGGGGTGGGAGATTGTACACCTGGGTACTTGCGGGACCGCCTACTACCACCAATAGCCTCCCACCGGCCGGTACGCTCCCATAGAGAGGGGCTCCTCCGGGTGCCATCAGCCAAACAATGCCGACTGGCAGCCCCCAGGGGGAGAGCCTTCTCTGTGGGGGCACCTACTATCTGGAACGAGCTCCCCCCAGAGATACGGAGGATCCCGGATCTGCGCACCTTCCGCCGCGCCTTAAAGACCTTACTATTTCACCAGGCCGGCCTGACCTAATTTTCCCCCTCTTTTATAAAAGATTTTTAAAATTTTAAATATTTTTTAGTATTTATATATTCAATTTTAAATTGGTTTTAAAAGTTTGGGGTTTTAAATTTGTCGGGGCCAAAATTATTTAATTTGATTTTATTCTATTTTTAAATTTTGTATGTATGTGTTTTTATTGTTTGGCTGTGCACCGCCCTGAGTCCTTCGGGAGTAGGGCGGTATAGAAATCTAATAAAATAAATAAAATAAAATAAATAAATATTTAATAAGTAGAAGTGCAAGTAAAAAAAGTATTGCAAACTGAATTCCTTAGTATTGGAAAAACATATAATTTAAACATTTGTCAAACAGGATAAAACTTGGAAGGAGATTGTTCTAATCCCAGTCTTTTCAAAGAATGATTGATATTGATAAATATCAATGTTTTCCCCCAAAAAGGCTGTGTGTAGATTTATTTCTTATTGTTTGTGTTGTATAGAAATTGTATATTTGTACACATATGTATTAAGCAGTGCTGTCAGCAGAGTGAAATTGATCTATTTTGTGATGTGATGATATACACTATAGTTACAGATATACCTGCTACTAAGCTCTGCTGAAGGCAGTGAAGCCCAGCCCTAACTAAAACTAACAGGCTAAGGGAAAAAAATCTCCCAATTACATTAAACTGGGAATACCTATGAAGGCTGAACCAGAGGTGGTATTCAGCCAGTTTGAACCGGTTCACCCGAACTGGTAGCGGAAATCATGGGTGGGCCCGCCAACCCGCCCCGGCTCTATGCCATCCTAGTTAGGCACGTTTTTGAGGCCAGGCGCATGCACAGAAGGCTCGCATGTGAGCAAAGCACATGCGCGGAAGGCCAGATGCATGTGCAGAAGGCGTGCGTGTGAACCGGGCGCATAGTGAACCAGTAGTAACATAATCTGAAACCCACTGCTGGGCTGAACTACATAAATTTAAACCTACTAGCTATATAAAATTGCAGTACAAACTATAGAATGAAATGTCAAATACAATATAGAATGGAAACGTCAAGAGATTCAACAGGAATTGGAATTGTTTTTGATATGTGCTCTCAGTGTATGTTAAAATAAATAATAAAAACGGGTCAATTTCTATCACTCAGATAATATTTGTTCCTTTCATAGTCATCCCCATCATGTTTTTTCATTAATTTGCATTCTTGATATACCAAAACCTCCTGGACAGTTCTGTGGATAAAATGATTTTTGAAATATTTACAGTTCTGTAATTCTAAGCTCACTAAAATCATGCCTGGAGGAATAAAATGAAACTTGTTCTTTCTGCCCTAATAATGATCATCTGGGAATCAGGGAATTTGGTGTAGAAAAGGACAAACTAATTTTAAATTAGATTAAAAATAGTGAAAGGGATATCTATAAATGTGTGCATGTCCTAAGTCTTGCTGACTTCAAAATTAGTCAGTCAATTAGCTGACTACAAGCAAATTTTAAATTAGATTAAAAATAGTAAAAGAAATGTCCATAGTAATGTGCATGTCCTAATTCTGGCTGATAACAATTTTTTTAAAGTAAGAAAGAAAGAATAATGTGTACTGAACTTAAGTTCAATAACTTCCAGCATCCCATATTAATGCAAGAATTAACTTTGGGACTGTTTACCAGTACTCCAACACCCGCAAAAATTCTCTGATCTTTTAGGGACATACCTTAGCCTAGCCACTAATACATTTTACTCACTATATAGACAAATTTATGACTTTCCTGTATTAAGAGAAAAGAAGCACACTTTGTCCTTTGCCACTAATCAGGTCAAAGAACATTTGAAGGATGTACCCTGATATCCCAGGAAGATCATCATAGTAAGAAGATTCAACAGACCTTGTTCATCATCTAGAAAAGGAATAGCTTAAAGAACTCTGCTCCTCTCTGCCAGAAGAAACAATCAACTTCCTAATATGTTGTTCCTCTGGGACCATAGAACAGAAGGTAAGGGAGCTATTGCAAGGTTCAAATTAATGAAAGTCATAGCTTGAAATAGAAGACTGTGAATTTGTACTATAATATCTTGTATTTTCATTTATCAGCCCAGCACAGTGTACGTGGAGGATGATTTATCCTCACAGAAGCACACTTTGAAGGTGGATTGGGCTAAAGGAGAGGAAGAGAGGCCAGCCAGTTCATCTAGTCATATCCATGTAAAATGGGGACTTTAATCAGACTCTCCCCAATCTAATACTGTAATTGCCACACCATTCTCACAATAGGATAGGTCCACACATTATGCTAAATCAAATAATCTCATAGTACATATATAAGTGGCAAATGGCACCCTAGAAAGGTATGAAAAATTATTGATATGGGTCATATCTCGAAATGGACAAGTACAGGCTGATTGAATGCAGAGTCCCAATACTATAAGTGTTATTCACTTAGCATCTGGGAACATCAAGCTATTTATTTATTATTTATTTATTTATTTTGTCGCATTTCTATGCCGCCCAACTCCCAAGGGACTCTGGGCGGTTTACAACAGAGAATAAAACAATGCAACAATATACCATACAAAAGTTAAAAGAAGACATTAAAACATTAAAACGTTAAAACACATACACTCCAATTTGTGGTCAGGTCTCGCAAGATCACTATAACGAGATCAACGGCCCCAGGCCTGCCGGAAGAGCCAGGACCGCTTTCCGGAAGGCCAATAGAGTGGGGGCGGTCCGAATCTCAGGAGGTAATTGGTTCCAGAGAGCCGAGCCAGCCACAGAGAAGGCCCTCCCCCATGGGCCCACCAGCCGACATTGTTTAGCTGACGGGACCCAGAGGAGACTGACTCTGTGGGATCTTACTGGTCGCTGGGAGCTATGTGGTAGAAGGCGGTCTCGAAGATAGTCTGGTCCTGAGCCATGTAGGGCTTTAAAGGTAATAACTAACACCTTGAATTGTGCCCAGAGACCGATAGGGAGCCAGTGCAGCTCGCGGAGAATTGGTGTAATGTGGTGTATCTAGGTGCACCCACTATAACTCGCGCGGCTGCATTCTGGACCAACTGTAGTCTCCGAACACTTTTCAAGGTAAGCTAGGCAAGAATGTATTTGACCCTTAAATAGACTGGCTTAATATCTAATGCAAAGTGATGGGTTGGTTCACCAATAAACCAGTTTCACAAAGCACACTAAACTAAGCCTGAGTACATCACATTATGATTTAGTTCAATATAGGAACCTAACCATTGCAGATTGAATTTGCATTTAGAATAATTACAGCAGTCTCCATACCCCTCAGTTAAACAGTTCATGATAGCATGATCACCATTGCAACTTTAAGTGAAAAATGTCCTTTAGGTAGGTTCTCCTCACACATAATTGTTGTACAAGCTTTTATAATTTAGAGAATATCACAAAGAGGAAGCCAGAGATAAGGTGTCTAATCCAGCATGATATGAAGTAAATACAATTCTAGAACAAATTAGAAGCAAAAGGTTGGTTTCATTTTAGAATGGAGAAATGTTTGGACAGCTTTAGCAGCAGAGCTTAACAAATATGTTTATGCATGCTTTGAAAATGATTATGAAGAAATGCTTTGGCCCTACATAACCTCTCCATAATCCATTAAAGCAGCTTGATTCTTTTTCAGGGTTGTGCATAAGCCTGAAAAAAGTTGGGGGTCCTTGAATGAACAGAGCAGTATCATGTTCACCTAAGTACCTATGCATTTCTAAATAAGTGAAGCATATAAAATAAGCTTCAGCCCAGGATAATATATTGCAAAAGAATCCAGATTTGACCCAATAATTATTTATTGAAGTTTAGACAACCTTCGAAGCAGCAGCTTTACAGCAATTCACAGACTGATCACTGTGGTCTACAGAGTCCCTTGGGAGCCTTGCAGATTTTTTCATGCCAACATGTAGGCAGCTAGATAGTGGTGAACAGATTTTTATTTTATTTTATTTTATTTTATTTTATTTTATTTTATTTTATTTATTTTATTGCTGTTAACAGTTAATATAGCTCTGTGTGCAAGGATGGGCCAAGATATCGAGATGTAGAAAATGTGTTTCTCTTTCTGAATAAGTATGCCTTTTATGTTGGCTCGCCTCTGTCCTGTTTGATTGGTCCCAAGCATGATATGGAACTATAAACTTTACTTCATTCAGATTAATTTCTGAGACTCTTCCATGGTTTTTATATAGTAGGTAAGAATAACACACAAGCAGAAAGGTATACTGGAAACTCACAGGTAATTATTAAGCTAGGTAAAAGCTACAGTAAACCACCCAAAGATAAAACATAAAAACTAAAATAGGCTCTGGGAAAAAAAAGCTCACAAACAATGCCCCCTAAAGTACATTGGAATAATTACAGCTGACACTTGCATTAGTTCATGCAAAATTAATAGATTTCTAAAATCTTCATTTTAGTATTTTGCAGTCTGCCCAAATGATCCACCCCTGAGTAGTCCAAAGGAAATAAAATACCAGTGAGTTCATCACTTCGGATTCCCCAAGACTCTTACATTACTCTTCTTTGTGAGGGAGTCTTTTAACTTTTTCATTACTTTGATCTTAAAAATAGATTTTTAATTAAATTCAGGACTATTATTCCCCTTTTGGGAAATTGGGAAAAACAAATGCAACTTAGATGCAGGACCTCTGAGCATAACACTATACCTCTCTTTACAGTTTGCTTTGGCATTTTTATATATTGTCTGCTAATAAAATGTAATGATTTTCATCTTTTAGTTTGACATTTGAGACTCTTATCTTTTATCTATTACATACAGTCTTTCAGCCCATAAATACATAAAATGACAAAATAAATTACTTAACCTTGTGTTATATTTGGAAATACATTAAAGCATAGCTCTATAGGAAAATTTTACTTTTAACACTTTGGACTGGCCTTCTATTTTTTATGATTTTTGTATTAAGTTCAAAGAGTATCAAGGCATCATCTCAGTTACAAGTGTTCACAAGAGCCACATTTTAAAGCTTTACAATTTTCTGGTGGTTTTTGACAGAAATGTTTCAAAATGAAATTGCATCCAGTTTGGCAAAGAGTATTTTCAATTAGTTGTTTACATAGACACGAACACACATGAACACAAACTATCTTTTTTTATTGTAAAAACTATCAAAATCCCCTAGATCTTACTTAAAAAGTAAGATTAAAAATTTATGTAGATATTCTACAGGATATTTTCCTCTCATATATTCTTTTCATATTCCAATATTGGAATATCCTACCTGATTTAAAACAAGTGATCAAACTATTTAATTTAATAACCATTAGCGGGTCAAAAGCTAAGTTTCAATTGGAAATACCATTTTTGTAATGACTTCTGGATCTGTTCTAGTTAAAAAAATAGAGCAAAATAATAATGTTCTGAGCTAAGGAAGAAATCATTTTCCTCATCTGAAAATAAGTCAACAAAATTTCCCATCCTTTGTGAATTTAATAAACATTTGTTTTATTGAAACTAAGAAGGAAATGAGAAATAGATGTTTTCCTTGCTGTATCATATGCTTCTGTCATGGTGATTATTCCTCTTCCTTGGGATAAGTGCTGAAATATGACGTGGTATGGCTGCATTCTTAGTCATTTCCAAATTCTATTCCAGGACATTTGGGATAGAGCCCAAGAGCTTAGCATGTTTTCCTTTTTTCATGGTAAAATTGTGCAAATATGCATTAGAGTGTGAAAACAAACAGTCTAATACATTTTTGCAAAGCTCTTTATGTTTACTGTTTATTGCAGATACCAGATCCTAATTAAAAATGCACTAACAAAAGCCAAGATACAAAGAGCAAAGATATCATGAAAGCTGGTTTTTGTTTTTTTGTTTTTTAAAAAAAAACCATGATTAATCCTCAGGGATTTTTTTATTCTGCATCATCTCCTGTACAATTATAGTTCATATGACAGTGAAGAGAATGTAGTATTAAATATTATGATGAACTTCACCAAACTGTATTAAAAATAAATCATACTATGGTTATATTTCTGTGAATTTAACTTTTTTCCAAATACCATAGCTGCATCCAAACCTCTTTCTCTGTGTTAGGTTTTAAAGTTATCCTGGAAGAATGATAGCACTTTTAACCATAATAGGCAGAAGTTTTAAAAAGGAGTGAGGTCAACTTAATTTTGAATTTAAGAAACTAACAATTTTTCAAATTATATGGCCTGCCCTTTGGTAAATAATGCTAATAATCTAATATTTCTTAGCATAGTAGCCTTCAGATGTGTTAGCTGTCAATTTCTCCAACTATTAGTGAGCGTACCTAATGCCTAAGGATTGTGGGATTGAAATTTAACACATCTGTAGAACACCAGTTGGTGAAAGGCTGCATTAATCTACATTAAGTCAAAGCTAAATCAGAATTATCTATGGAAGGCCTGTTTTTGTCATGACAAATGCCAGAAAAGGAGATTCCACAGAACAAGAATCAGCTTTGGAAATTTGTGGAAAACCTGGCAAAGATAGGTTTCATTTCTAGTACTTCTTTTTAAAATAGGCAGGAAAGAATTGTTGAGAACCTGCTATAGGGAATTGCTGCCACTTAAAAGAGTTAATGATAGGCAAATGCAAAATGGTTTGATTTAATCTAAGTTTTCTTTTCTTTTTCTCTGTGTTGCATGAATTTGATAAATCTGGAAGGTGTACATGAACTTTACCTGATTTGGATATATATCTACTGCCTTAAATATTCATCTGAATCTTGTTGAACTAAAATTATACTATTATACTGGACAATTTTTCTCAAAAGTTTTGCTTTGTGAAAAAAAACTTTTGGTGATTATGATAGACTCCTTCAAACTAAATATAAAAACAATTTCAGAATGATTATATTATATAGGAATCTTGAGAAATATGAAATTTACCTTTAATGACTAATTACATTGATTTAATTACATAGTATTTCCAACGTGCTACATGAGTTCAACAGGGCTAAAAGTGTTTTGATTATGATTTTCATTTGC